CACGTCGCGCCCCCACTTGGCCCCCCGACCTCGCCCCGGCACCCCCAGTCCCTGGCTATCTGTTCTGGGGACCACCCTCTAACACTTCCTGGCCTAGCACCCACCCTGACCCCCACATGGCCGTCCCACCTCGCCTCGACATTCACACTCTGACGATCTGTCCTGGGGACCACCCACCCGAAAATTCCTAGCCTGAAACCCGCCGTGACCTCCCACCGGGCCCCCCACCTGGCCTCCCCCCACCTTGCCTCGGCATCCCCGCGCTCTGGCCATTGATTCGAGGGACCAACCCGACAACTCCTGGCCCGGAACCCGCCGTGACCGGGGCCTGGAACCCAGCCTGACAACCCACCTGGCCCCCCCACCTGGCCCTCCGACCTCGCCTCGGCATCCCCACTCGGCTCGGTCCGACGTGACTCCCCGACGAAGATCAAAATGTCCAGAGGGACCATAAGCAGAAGCAACTCAGGGCAAACAAATCTCCGAAAAGGCACGACGACTCACAAGTTCCCGCGGACCACCCAGGCCACGGGCGCCCTTCCCGTCGTCCCCTGATTCACTGCCGTTCGTGGCCAACCGAACACGCATGCAACTGGAAGAATGGAAGAACCCTTGATTCGTGAACTTCGGACACGCTGCCTCTCCTTGAGTCGGCGGCAGAGGCGGCAGCCCTTCAGTTAAGAAATCATGACGGAATGCGCTTCTCTACTTTCGGGCTCTGAGGGCCCCTACCCGGCCCGCGGGACCGTCAGACAACGACTCGGGATGAAAAGCTGGTCCCGGGGAATGGGTCCCGACAGCTGGGGGCCCACGTCGTGAAAAAAGAATGACGTCGAGGGTCTGGGGTCGGCGGCGCGCCGGGGGGGGGCGGTCAGAGGGGCAGGCTTTCTCGGAAGGCGGCAGGCTTCTCAGAAGCGCCGTGGCCTTCTGCGAAGCCGCCTGTCTTCGGGTAGGGCTCGGAACGTTGCTCAGAGGGCCGGGGGCCTTCCGAGCTATCCGAGAAGGCCTGCCCCCGCTGCCTTCCCCACCTGGGCTCGCCGCCGAGGAGAGTACCACGAGGCTCGTGTGCGTTTTTCACGGCGTAGGCCATTTTGGGGATCGGCGCTGGGCCCCGCTGGCAGCGCCTCTGGCGCCGCCCCTGGCGCGCTCCGAGCTCCAGGGAGGGGGGCCCAGAGCCGATCCGAGAAGTTTGTGCGGAGCTACGAAAGTTTATGGTTATGCAGTTTCTTGTTTCTTCGACAGATATTTCTTCTTCGACATGCATCCTTCCGATGGTTAGGGCGCATCCAGTCACCAGCAGCCCCCATCTGGGGAAAGTCCAGTTTTCCAGGTCGGCCCCCGTGGCCCCTGCAAGGAGAACGGCGCTGCTCGAATGAAGGCTCCACGGGGGGAGGAACAGAAGGTTGAAGAGGAGATGACGACTGCTTCGCAAAAACATGGTATGTCAGGTGGCAACTTCTGGAAAGTCTTCGGCCCGATTACGGGGCAAGTAGACCGGATTAATCAGCATTAAGCCTGGGATAAAACCATATTAAGCTGGATGTAGTGGGATTCGCCTGGGCCAGGCGGGGTTATGCCACATTTGGCCAGTTGTCGACCACGGATGCATCAGCGCCAATGGTGAATGTAACCTTCCAGGAGATGCACCCTGATATAAATGGGGACCAGTGTGGTCTCTTGAAAATGAAGCTGAGTAGACCTGACTTCGCGCACGTGACGTCATTCAACAGTTGTCTATTGCAACTGAAGTGTGCAACACAAGACGTGGAAGTACGGCAGCTCAGCTGAGCTGTCCTGCGAGGTACATGACAACAACCTGGCGAAGGGCCAAACCATATGCAGTTATGAGTATCACCGTTGTGGGCATCGCCGTCGGTGGATTTCTTCATGGGGCCGCGAAGGGTTTGAAGGGTGTGCCGAAATGGGGCGGGGACGCATGCGGGCGCGGCCACTGAGGCCTCCGGTGGCGCTCCATATGGGGCCACGAAACGCGAGATGGGTGTGCCGAAATGAAGCGGGGCCGCCATGCGAACGTCGCCACTGGGGCCTTCGGTCGAGCTCCTTATGGGGCCACGACGCGCTGTGCTGAGCGGGGGGGGCGCATGCGAACACCGACACTGGGGCCTTCGGTGGAGCTCCTTATGGGGCCACGAAGCGCTGCACTGGGTGTGGGGGACGCAGGCGAACACCGCCACTGAGGCCTTCGGTGGAGCTCCCACTGGGGTCACATAGCGTTGTACTGGGCGGGGGGACGCATGCGAACACCGCCACTGGGGCCTTCGATGGGGCTCCTTGTAGGGCCACGAGACGCTGAAGCGGGTGGGCGAAACGCATGCGGACACCGCCACTGGGGCCTTCGGTGGAGCTCCCTTTGAGGCGACGAAGCGTTGTACTGGGTAGGGGAAAAGCATGCGGACACCGCCACTGGGGCCTTCGATGGAGCTCCCTACGGGGCCACGAAACACGGTACCGGGTGGGTGAGACGCATGCGAACAACGCCACTGCGGCATTCGGTGGAGCTCCCTACGTGACCAATGAGCAGTCTACTGGGTGGGGGAAAAACATACGGAAACAGCCGCTGGGGCCTTCGATGGAGCTCCCACGAAACGGTGTGCTCGGTGGAGAACCGTATGCGGACACCGCCACTGGGGCCTTCGGTGGGGCTCCCTGCAGGGCCACGAGCCACGACGCATGCGGACACCGCCACTGGGGCATTCGGTGGAGCTCCCTGTGGGGCCACGAGACGTTGCACTGGGTGGGGGGAACGCATGCGGGCACCCCCACTAGGGCCTTTAGTGGGGCTTCTTATGGGGCCACGGAGCGCTGTACTGGGTTGGGGAAACGCATGCGGACACCGTCACTGGGGCCTTCGGGGGGCGGCATGCGGACACCGCCTCTGGGGCCTTCGGGGGAGCTCCCTATGGAGCCACGAAACGTGTGAGGGGTGGGCCTAAGTGGAGGAGGGGCGGCATGCGGGCCTTGGGTGGAGCTCCCGATGGGGCCACGAAACGTGCAAGGGATGTGCCAACGTGGGGGGGGGGGGGGGGGGGCGGCATGCGCACGCAGCCACTGGGGCCTTGGGTGGAGCTTCCTATGGGGCCACGAAACGTGCAAGGGGTGTGCCAACGTGGACAGGGAGGCGGCATGTGAATGCAGCACTGCTGCCTTGGGTGGAGCTCCTTAGGGGGCCACGAAACGTGCAAGGGGTGTGCCAACGTGGAGGGGGGGCGGCATGTGAACGCAGCCACTGCTGCCTTGGGTGCTGTGGGGCCACGAAGCGTGTGAGCGGTTTGGGGGGCGGCGTGTGAACGCAACCACTGGGGCCTTGGGTGGAGCTCCAGATGGGGTCACGAAACGTGCAAGGGGTGTGCCGCTGTGGAGGGGGGGGCGGCATGCGAACGCAGCCACTGGGGCCTTGGGTGGAGCTCCAAATGGGGCCACGAAACGTATGAGGGGTGTGCCAGAGTGGGGTGGGGGGGTGGGGTGGGTGGGGGGGGGCGGCACGTGAACGCAACCGCTGGGGCCTTGGGTGGAGCTCCCCATGGGGCCACGAAGCGGGTGAGGGGTGTGCCAAAGTAGAGGGGGGGCGGCGTGTGAACGCAACCACGGGGGCCTTGGGTGGAGCTCCCGATGGTAGGACGACAAGAACCTATTGACACAATGTGCTATTGATACGTTCCGGAAATTCCGGGATTTCTAACAGCCTTCGCGCGGGGTACACTTTGCGTCGAGTATTGTCTACTCTGGCTGGCGTCGCTGGTCGGTCACCCATTCGCAATCGAGTGGTCGCCCGTAAGGTGTTACTTGGCAGTTGCTGACCCCCTTTTTCGTTTCCGAGCACGGGGGGGACGGCGGCGCACCGTCCCATCGCCCGCCGCCGCGCACCGCGCGCCTCGGCGGATTCCCGAAGACCTGGCAAGGCAAATCATGCGCGACCCTGGAAAATTCTCCGGGGGGAAACTTGAACAAATCCGGGAACATTTTTGAACATGTCTGGCCCATTTTCGAAAAATGTCAGAACCGTTTTTGAACATTTCCGGGATCGATTTTGAAAAATTCCGGAATCCATTTTGAATAATTCCGGATTTCAGAATTCTTCAGATGTCCTGCGCAGCGGGCGCATTCCACCCCTCATAACTGTTTTTTGAAAATTTCCGGGCTCCTTTTTGACAAATTCCGGAAACGCTTGCGCGAAGAAAAAAAGGAAACATTCGCTGACACATTCTATAATCAGGAACTAATGTCCGGGCGGTCCGACGGGCGCGGCCGGCTGATGCACGCGCCGCGCCGCGCGCGATTAGGCGCAGCGCGCGCCGCGCGTTGCGCCCGCGAACAGCACTCGAAGGGGCTACCTCGAAAACAGCGCCACGGCAGCTGCGACTCGCGGACCCCCCAAGAGCAACCCAGCATGCAGCTTGGAATCTTCGAGGGCGCTCCGATGCGCGGAAAATGCACCGCGAACATCACGCGAAGAACCTGCGCGACGGAACGCGCTCGGCCATTCGTCCCTGAAACCTGCGCGGAAGAACAGGAAAACCTGGAAATGTGGAAAACTATCAATATCAATACTTCATGCTCCTCTGAGATGGGGCCACGAAGCGTTTGAGGGGTGGGCCAAAGTAGAGGGGGGCGGCATGCGAACGCAGCCACTGGGGCCTTGGGTGGAGCTTCCTATGGGGCCACGAAGCGTGTGAGGAGTGTGTGCCAAAGTGCAGGGGGGGCGGCATATGAACTTGGAGGAAGAGGGGGAGGAGGAGGAGAGGAGAGGAGGAGACGTGGGGACCGTCTGTTCAAAACGGGGACCCAGCACCGCAGGATGGTTGGGAACTAAACTGAATTGCATCAAGCATCATGGTACGTGTACATCAACTGCACGTGAGCCAACCGTTCGAACTGGCTACAATGTGCGGGGCCTGTCAGCGGCCACGGCAAGGCAGAAATGTCCTGGAACTCAACGCCCGCTCGAACGACCATAGGCGCGAAAGAGAAGCGAATGCAACTCACGGCGAGAATTTGCCGATCTTCGCATTGTCCTGCAGGTGAACTCCCGTCAGTTTCCGAGCAGAAGCACCGCCTGCACCACCCAGAGGCGGATGCCAAGAACCTCGAAGCGCAACAATCCCCCACAACGTGAGACAAACAACAGGAATCAAAATTGGGGACCCACAATGTCTCCCTGCCCAGGTCTCCACCGCGTCAAGGCAGGCTGCAGCTGCCAATAATCTCAACTCCCCTTTCCAAGCCCTCCTCCTGCCCAAGATCTAGCGGTGGAAAATGCCCCCTCCCAGGTGGGAGGGTAGGCCTCGGGCTTCGGGACTGCTTGGCCCGCGCTCCCAGCCACGACCCAACCTGAAGTGAATAGTTCAAAGGATACTGAAAGCAAACATGTCCTGAATAGGTTGCGCCGCGCTCGGCCCCCACAAACCCCTTTCCGAATCCTGGGGCCGTCAAAAAAGGGCCCAAGATCCCAAGATGGAGGCCTTCTCCCGGGGAGTTATCCAGGGTCTGAGACCCGTGTCCCACAGGACCGCAGTCCTCGAGCCACGAACACTTGAGCAGAGAAATTCATCTCTCCGGGCCTGAAGTTGCCAAATTGCGTGGTAACTGCTTCCTGGGCACCCATGACCTTCTTGCGGCCCTTTGGGGACGTCTGGGTGTCCTGTTAGGCCGTCTCGGGGCTGTCATGTTGCCCCCTTGCGGGGGCCGTTTGGGTCGTCTGGGCGCGATACTTGGGACATCTTGGGCTGTCGTGGGCTGCCCGAAACCAGTAAAGGTGAGAACTTGAAAGTCATTGAAAAACGAAATGAGCACCAACGACCAATGATTCGAGCCTCGTGAATCCCTCCGGGGGTTCCTCGTAGAGCCATCTGGGACATAATGTACACACCAGGCCTTAGGTGTTCTGACAAACGTTAGGGGTGTTCATTTCAGTTTCAGGACCGACGTTTTTTTGTGTTGGCAACATGTTTCTGCCCACTTTGATGGTTTTCGACCTGCCTTGCTCTTACGATTTAAAATCCGTTGTTGATTCGTTTTCGGTGACAACTGATTTTCCGATTTCGGATCCAGACCTGGCCTGCGCCGTGCCGCGTTGTTACTGAATGAGTTGTCAGCGAGTGTTCAATGCATGTCCAACTGCCCCACAAGCGCCGATCGTGTTTAAGCCGCTTCGACAATGTATTCCTTCCCGCTGTGTCACTCCGTGTTCTGTTCGTTTCGTGCACGGGCAGCGTTTTCCTGTTTGGCGTTTCTGTTGTGTTTCCGCTCTGGTCGGCCGCACCCAGACAAGCTGAATACTCGCACAACAAGAAAACACCCCCGGCGCGTGCCAGGCCAACTGGCAAGCCTCCCTGGCCGTCTTGAGGTCGTCTTGGGGTCCTACCTCGTCGGAGGCATCTGGGCCAACTGTGCACCCTTTGCAGACCGTCTTTGGGCCAGCTGGGCATCTGGGCCAATTTCGGGGATGGACAGACCTCCCTTTAGTAAAACGTGGTTTAGTGAAAACGACCTGAGGCCCAAACCTGGCGGGCGCAAGCCTGGAAAACAACGGCCGCGGCGCCATCTCGAGAACCGAAAACGGACAATTCACTAATCGACGTGTCACTGTTGGGGGTTCTGTCCGCCCCCGACAATTGGGCAGCTGGCACGGGAGCACACCCGCGCGCATGCCAGGAGACGGCTCGGCCGCGTGCCAGCCTGGCGCAGAGGAGGCGCCCGGCCGATCGCGCACCATCTGGACTCACTGCTCGCTCGAGCACCGCACCACGTGCAGGTCGGGCATGTCCCCCTACAGGCGGGCCTGTGAGCAAACATTTAAAATACTCACAACGTACTCGAGCATAGCCAACAAATCATCAACACATCGTCCCCATATTATTAGTATTATTATTAGAATTTCTTTTTTGATAAGAAAACAACTATTTTCAAGATTCCCCCTGTAGAGGGACAGGCCAGACTTAATACTACGTGCTCCCAAACTCCAAACGCTGCTGTGAGGAACGAATCATGAGTGCGCCGTGGTCCTGACGCCTCTTCTTCGAATCCCGCAGCAGTGTGCGGCATGGGCGGTCGCGAGTGCACCCGACGCACGCTACACCTGCTTGCGACTGACAACTGTTGCTGGTAATGTGGCGTCCGTTCAAGCAGGAAATGTCAGCGCAAAAAACTTCACATTGCCTTCTTCCAACAACTTCCCATCAGACAGCTTGCAACCCGGGACTGTGGGCCAGCCAGCTGCTTTGACTCGCTCGGTCACCAATACCTCGCCAACTTCTGCGATGTCCTCTGCCAGCTTGAAGCTACAATCGAAAGCGCTGCCGAAAATGTCGTGCCCTGAGCAATGAACCTGTCCGACGTCCACTCCGAAACCCATCCGTATCTGAAAATCCTTTTCGCGGGTGACGTTGTATTCGCGCACCTGTTCCACGACTGCGTGGATACATGCGATGGCGTCATCAACACCTGGAAATGCTGCGATGATATTGTCTCCTTCATATTTGATCTTCCATCCACCATGCTTCTGAAGAGCTGGTAGTATGATGGCTCGCGCCTTGAAAACAAGCCTGAGAAAATGCAGAATCCCATACTGCTTGCTGAGACGGGTGAAACCGCTCATGTCTGTGGTCATGATGACAAGCTCTGACACGACCAGGTCTGAGGAACCAGTGCCGCGGAGAAACTCTTCGACTTCTGCTGTTGCTGGCATTGCAACAGCGTCCCCATCCTCGATACTAATCTTGGCTGTGACCTGGCAGTAATCTAGGGAGACCCCTGATATCTCTGTCTGCTTCGGCTCCAAGACAAGACTGCTCAGCAAGCTCTGCAGGCGGGCATCCTCTGCATTCTGGGCGGAGGACGCCGAGACCATGATCTCGCCCGGCAATGCGAGATCCTCCCCGATCTTCGACGCCACGTTCACGGGGGTGCCATAACAGTCCTCTCGGCCGGGTGGTCATGGGGGCTGGCCCACATGGGGGGGGGAAGAAAAAGGCTGCAAAGGAGCTATTAGGACCCCTTTTGGGCACCAGCTGGGTCCAAAAGGGGCAATAAGGGCCCCTTGAGGGCCCTTTTCTTCAACCCCAAGTTTGGCCACTCCCATCACCACCCGCCCGATCCTCTTCAATCAGGAGAATGCTTCCGTGGTGGATCCCGGCTTTCAGGGTTGCTGCCTTCGGGAGAGCCCCCCGATTCCTTCCATTGCGCCTGGACGCCCTGCAGCAAGGCGAGCAGCCGACAGACCCGCTGCCTTGCGCACCATCTGAGAGGAAATCGCCGACCCAGGTGTGGAACGAGACCAACAGTTTCCTCATTAGGAAAGCCGCCTCGAGAGCTTCCCCTGCGCTTTTTGCGAAAACGAAGAAACGGCTGCCGTCTGATTTGACGAGGCGAACGTTGTCATCCCAAACGCGGAGAGCAAACAGAGCTCTCAGATACTCCAGGACCTGCAACTTCCGATCGGTGTCAGGCTCATCGAAATCAACAGTCGCTATCATCGACGCTCCCTGTTGCTGCAACCTCTCAAACAACTTGTCCTGCTCTGCCTGGTCTCCTTCAACTGCCTGCAACCGTCTGAACAAAGCCTCCGTGTCGACCTTTTTGGACGCCCGAAATGGGTACGGAAACCTGATATTGTCACGAACCCCGACCTTGGAGGACAAGTGGGCGTGAATTGCGAGACAGAGAACAACGAAAAAGATGATGCATATAGGACGCATTATACTGGTTCCCGTGTTGTCCGTTTGACGCTGTGCCACTTTGTCGAGGCGAGGGGCCCTCTTGTGGCTGTCCTGAGGCCCTGTTGAGCGCTTCTGGGCTCTTGGTGGACACCTCCTAAGGTGATCTCAGGACATTACGAAATTACCACACGAGCTAGGATGTCTCGGGGCTGTCAGTTTGCCGCTGTGAGGCTTTGTCGAGGCACTTCCAGCAATCCTGGAGTCGTGGGGCAGCCCTGGGGCCCTCTTGGGCGCTTCTGGGGGCTTCCTGGAGGCGTGGTGAGGTCGTGAGGCTTGTTGGGGTCGTCTTGGGGGCCTCTTGGGGCCTCCTCAGGTCCTTCAGCCGTCCTGGGGCCCTCCTGAGGAAGTCCTGGGGCTGTCCGTGTGTCGCTCTGGTGATTTGTCGAGGCGCTTCCAGCAGTCCTGGGGTCTTGGGGCAGTCCTGGGGCCTCTTGGGGTCTTCTTGGGGGTCTCTTGGGGTCTCATCAAGTTCCCGTGGTGTCCGTTTGAGGCTGTGAGGCTTTGTCGAGGAACCGCCAGCCGTCCTGGGGTTATCTTGGGGCAGTGCTGCGCCCATCTTGGGCGCTGCTGGGGGGGCTTGATGGAGGCCTCGGGAATGTTCTTGGGAGCCTATTGGGGCCTCTTCAGGGGTTATTGGGACCTCTTGGGAACTTCTTGGGAGCTTCTGGGGGCCTGTGGATAGGTTATTGGAGCGGAGAAACCAGAACCTCGGATTTCGTCAGAGGTGGTGTCGGGAACGCTTCTGAAGAAAAGGTGGTCAAGAAAACGACGATGCGTCTTGGAAGTGCGCGGCTAGGCGAGTTAAGAGGTGAGCTCAGCACGTGCCCATGCGAGCCACATGGGGTGAGCTCAGCTCGCGACCATGCGAGTCACGAGGTGAGCTCATCACTTTTCCATGCGAGCGGCAGGTAAGGGATGGGGCGCGGTTGCATATGACGGGCGAGCAGATTGAGTTTGGAGGATCTGGGGTCTCCTGGGGGCCGTCGGGTTTGGTTGGAGGTTGTGTCAGGGACGTGTCTGTCTATATGAGGACTGTATTGGACAACTTGCGGCGGTCGGGAGCCGCATGCGACCGTATTGAAGCCTCCTGGAGGCTTCTTGTGAGGCTGTCTGGCAATACGAAAAGTCGCTTGAGGTTTCTCTGCGACAACTGTCCAGGGGGAAAGGCGGCCAGACAAACAATGGTGCATCTTGGAGGTGAGCTCAGAACGCGACCATGCGAGCCACGGTGTGAACTCAGCTCGTTTCCTTGCGAGCCCATAAGAGGAAAGCGATAATGCGCATTACATTGGCTCCCGTGTGGTCCGACTGAGGCTGTGCTGCTTAACGCCCATTGCATTGGTTCCCGTGTTGTCCTTTTGACGCCGTGACGCTTTGTCGAGGCGCCTCCAGCCGTCGTGGGGCCCTCTTGGGTCTGTCCTGATGCCCTGTTGGGCGCGTCTGGCGACTTGCTGAAAACCTCGTAAAGCGTAAGGTGAGCTCAGGAAAATTCCATACAAGCTAGGAAGTCTCGGGCTGTCCGTTTGTCGTTGTGATGCTTGGGGGCCTCTTGGGGCCTCCTCGGGTCCTTCAGCCGTCCTGGGGCCCTCCTGAGGGAGTCCTGGGGCTGTCCGTCTGTCGCTCTGACGCTTTGTCGAGGCGCCTCCAGCAGTCCTGAAATCTTGGGGCAGTCCTGGGGCTCTCTTGGGGGCTTGTCGGGGCTTTCTGGAGGCGTCTTGAGGCCTTGAGGCCTCTTGGGGTCTTCTTGGGCGTCACTTGGGATCTTATCAGGTTCCCGTGTTGTCAGTTTGACGCTGTGAAGCTTTGTCGAGGCGCCTCCAGCAGTCCTGGGGCTCTCCTGGGGTAGTGCTCGGCCCATCTTGGGCGCTTATGGAGGCTTGCTCTCTGGAGGGTTCTTGGGGGCCTTTGGGGGCCTCTGCAGGGGTTATTGGGGCCTCTTGGGGGCTTCTTGGGAACCTCTGGGGGCCTCAGGAGGGGTCATTGGGGCAGAGAACCCGAAGAATCAGCCCCTGCCTCCGCTCCAGGGGCTCTCTTCGGCTCTCTTGGGGCGTGCCTGTGGCGCTTGGGAGGCCGTCTTGAAGGCCTCTGGGGCCGTCTTGAGTACGTCTTGGGCCATCTGAGCGCTCTCTTGGGGATCTCTGAGGCTCTCTTGGGGCGTTCTTTGGGACCTCTTGGGCCGTGTTGGAGCGGCGGGAAGCCGAACAGGCGAAAACTCTCAAAAACCTAAGGACAACCGATGACCTTTAATGTTTCGGGCTCCTGGAAAGCGTCTTGGGGGCCTCTCAGGGCGTCTTTTGAATTCCCTGGGGCATCGGGACGCCATATTGGGCGTCTCTGGGGGCTTCTGGAGGGGTCACTGGGGCGGAGAACCCGAAACATCGGCCCCTGCCTCCGCTCCGGGGGCTCTCTTGGGGCGTGCCTGGAGCAATTGTGAGGCCGTCTTGGAGGCCTCTTGGGTCGTCTTGAGGACGTCTTGAGCCGTCTGAGCGCTCTGTTGGGGGTCTCTGAGGCTGTCTTGGGGCGTTCTTTGGGGCATCTTGGGCCGTCTTGGAGCGGCGGGAAGCCGAGCAGGCGAAAACCGAAAAATCCTTTCAAAACCGAAGTAAAACTGAAGATGTGTTACGTTTCGGGTTCTCCTGGAAAGCCTGTTGGGGGCCTGTCGGGGCGTCTGTTGGGCTCCCTGGACGTCGGGACGCCATATTGGGCGTCTCTGGGGGGTTCTGGAGGGGTCACTGGGGCGGAGAACCCGAAAAATCGGCCCCTGCCTCCGCTCTGGGGGCTCTCTTGGGGCGTGCCTGGAACAGTTGTGAGGCCGTCTTGGAGGCCTCTTGGGTCGTCTTGAGGACGTCTTGAGCCGTCTGAGCGATCTGTTGCGGGTCTCTGAGGCTGTCTTGGGGCTTTCTTTGGGGCATCTTGGGCCGTCTTGGAGCGGCGGGAAGCCGAACAGGCGAAATTCAAAAAACCTAAGGGAAACTGAAGATTTGTTACGTTTCGGGCTCTTCTGGAAAGCCTGTTGGGGGCCTCTCGGGGCGTCTTCTGGGCTCCCTGGACGTCGGGACGGCATATTGGGTGTCTCTGGGGGCTTCTGGAGGGGTCACTGGGGCGGAGAACCCGAAAAATCGGCCCCTGCCTCCGCTCTGGGGGCTCTCTTGGGGCGTGCCTGGAACAGTTGTGAGGCCGTCTTGGAGGCCTCTTGGGTCGTCTTGAGGACGTCTTGAGCCGTCTGAGCGCTCTGTTGCGGGTCTCTGAGGCTGTCTTGGGGCGTTCTTTGGGATCTCTTGGGCCGTCTTGGAGCGGCGGGAAATCGAAAATGCGAAAACCCCCTAAACCCATCAAAAACTAAAGGAATACCAATGATTTTTAATGTTTCGGGCTCTCCTGGAAAGCCTATTAGGGGGCTTCTTGGGGCGTCTTTGGGGCTCCCTGGGCCGTCTGGACGCCATCTTCGGCGTCTTGGGCCGTTCAGTCGGCGACTCGTGGCCCTCTTGGAGCATCTTCCGGACCCTCTTCGAGCCGCCCATGCCTCCCGGAAGCGCATCTGCAAAATTGCGGCCGTCTTCCGCCGGCTTCCGCCGGCGTTCCCCCCGTGGCCGGGGGGGGGCCCCGGGGGGTCCCCCCCCAGACCCCCCCAGGGGCACACACACAAGGGGAACCCCTCCTCAAGGTCGGGGAAAAATGGGTACAATGCCCAGCAACAAATGTTGTCCAAAATCGACAGCGGCCGCTGATGGGCAGGCGGCTCCATGTCTTCAGTGAACAACGCCCGCAGCGGCGCGGACAGCGAGTCTTGTTCAAAATGAACAAGAACTGCTGTTGGTCTTTGTACCCATCCTGTCCGTACCCAGTTCGATCGTCCCGAACCTTGTCCGCTACCAAGATATCGTCCACGTCCGGCACCTCAGGCTCATGGCGACGAGGCGAAAGCAGATTCTCGATACTCCCAGCTCCAGGGATGGAACACTGCTGGCCCATGGTCACGGGGCGAGGGACGAAAAGAGAAACTGCAACGCGAAACTTCGCACATACGCACCTGGATTTGAGCCAGACCGCCGTATCAGTCACAAAATCGGAACCAAGTGTCGGACCATGCCAACCGCTACCACCATGCATGCCTCATTGTAACGAATGTGCCACGTACATGAAATGTGCCTACCAACGGTCAGTTATTCCAACGGTCGCGGCTAAAGGTTCGAAATATCATATGAATCTCGGGCAACTTCAAGCAAGGAATACGTGGTCGCGCAACCGCGCTGCAACCGCGCATGGGAATCGAGCCCTCTACGAATCCTAGGCGTTTCCCTCTGCATCTCCTCCATCTTGGAGGCAAAGCTGCAGTCGCGGACTCCATTGGCTGTCAAAGAGCAGTAGCACCGTGCGCTTCCGACACGATCTTGGCTCAAGCGCGATCGCGCAGAAGCAGCTTCCGCACAGCGCCTGACCCGCAGGGGTGGCAGCCACTGCGCACAGCCACAGCACACCACGCGGGCTCTGCAATAGACAGCAAAGCGACTGCATACCAGAAACAAATCCCTGAGGTCCGCGCGGACTTCTTGGATCGGCGCTGGACGCCCCTCCCTGGCGCGCGGGAGCGCGCCAGGGGCGGCGACGGAGGCGCCGCCAGGGGGCTCCAGCGCCGATCCAAGAAATCAACGCGGACCTCCGGAAGCCTATGCGTATGCCTTCGCGTTTCTCGATGCATCGAGCAACGAACGGACGCGGTGGGCACTGCCACCCGGTCCGCCGGAGTCTCCCGGCGCTTGGGCTGTCGTCCAGGCTCTCGCGGGCGCGGGCGAAGTGGTGCTGGACATCGGTGGCGCCCAAAGGGCAGAGGGGCGGGAGCAGGGTAAGCAGCGGTTGAGGGCCCCAACATGCTCCCAGAGAGCCCCCCATGAAGCAACAAGACGACTTCAAGAGGCCTCCTATTCCTCCTCCTCCTCCTCCTCCTCCTCCTCCTCTTCCTCCTCCTCCTCCTTCTCCCGTTTATCCTCCGTTCTCTTTCTCTCCCAGGTGTCATCCCAAAGAACAGCGACTGGGGAAACACACATTCAATCTCGTGGCCGCCAGACTTTGGCCCAGCGATTGGCCGCACGGGCGTTTCCAAAAGGCAAGGGGCGACGGTGGTTCGCCGCAGTCGTCTTCGCAAAGCGTTTCGAGATCGAGGCACACGCTGTGGCTCCTACACAATCCACAACTTCAGCACCCGTGCCATGTATGGTGGGCTTGCTTTCCACCGCCACCACCATAAGTAGGAAGGGGAGAAGTTCCTCCTCCTCCTCCTCCTCGTCTTCCTCTTCCTCATCCTCCACCTCCTCCCCTCTTCCAACTTATGGTGGTGGAGGTGGAAAACAGACCCAACATGTTTTTTTGTTCCCCACATGCTTAGTGGGGTTATGGTTCTCTTCCATGCCTCGTCGCACCCGCGCTTACTCACCTCACCTCCCTCTTCCCCTGCTCACACAGCTCAGCACAACACAGCACAGTTCAGCACAGCTCAGCTCAGCTCAGCACGGCACAGCTCGGCTCAGCTCAGCTCAGCACAGGACAGCACAGCTCAGCTCGGCACGGCACAGCTCAGCGCGGCCGCTATGCACGACGGTCGTCCAGTGCATAGCAGGCGTGGCATTTTCTCGACACCGTAGGGGATGCGCACGGGGTGGTCCCTCACCGAGGCCGCCATGCACGACGGTCGTCCAAGGCGTAACAAGCGTGGCATTTTCTCGACACCATAGGGGGTGCGCAAGGGGTGGTCCCTCACCGCGGCCGCTATGCACGACGGTCGCCCAGGGCATAGCAGGCGTGGCACTTTCTCGACACCATAGGGGGTGCGCAGGGGGTGGTCCCTCACCGCGGCCGCTATACACGACGGTCGTCCAGGGCATAGCAGGCGTTGCATTTTCTCGACACGATAAGGGGTGCGCAGGGGGTGGTCCTTCAGCGCGGCCGCCACGCACGACGGTCGTCAAGGGCATAGCAGGCGTGGCACCTTCTCGACACCATAAAGGGGGGCGCAAGGGGTGGTCCCTCAGCGCGGCCGCTATACACGACGGCCGTCCAGGGCATAACAGGCGTGGCAGTTTCTCGACATCATAGAAGGTGCGCAGGGGGTGGTCCCTCAGCGCGGCCGCTATACACGACGGTCGTCCAGGGCATAGCAGGCGTGGCATTTTCTCGACACCATAGGGGGTGCGCAGGGGGTGGTCCCTCACCGCGACCGCCATGCACGACGGTCGTCCAGGGCATAGCGGGCGTGACACTGCGCAGGGGGTGGTCCCTCACCGCGGCCGCTATACACGACGGTCGTCCAGGGCATAGCAGGCGTGGCATTTTCTCGACACCATAGGGGGTGCGCAAGGGGTGGTCCCTCACCGCGGCCGCTATGCACGACGGTCGTCAAGGGCATAGCAGGCGTGGCACCTTCTCGACACCATAAGGGGGTGCGCGGGGGGTGGTCTCTCACCGCGGCCGCTATACACGACGGTCGTCCAGGGCATAGCACGCGTGGCATTTTCTCGACACCATAAGGGGTGCGCAAGGGGGTGGTCCCTCAGCGCGGCCGCTACGCACGACGGTCGTCCAGGGGATAGCAGGCGTGACATTCTCTCGACACCATCGGGGGCGCGCAAGGGGTGGTCCCTCCCCGCGGCCGCCATGCACGACGTACGTCCAGGGCATAGCAGGCGTGGCATTTTCCCGACGCCATAGGGGGTGCGCAAGGGGGGCTCCCTCAGCGCGGCCGCTACGCACGACGGTCGTCCAGGGCATAGTAGGCGTGGCATTTTCTCGACACCATCGGGGGCGCGCAGGGGGTGGTCCCTCACCGCGGCCGCCATGCACGACGGTCGTCAAAGGCATAGCAGGCGTGACACCTTCTCGACACCATAAGGGGGTGCGCGGGGGGGGGTCCCTCACCGCGGCCGCTATGCACGACGGTCGCCCAGGGCATAGCAGGCGTGGCACTTTCTCGACGCCACAGGGGGTGCGCAGGGGTGGTCCCTCACCGCTGCCGCTGGCTGGCTCGAATCTGTCCTCGATGGAGGATAGAAGGCTAGGAAGAGGGAGGAGGTTCAAGCAATATGGCGTTGGATGACACATAGGGGAACATTCGCGACGAGGGCTCAGAACTCAGAATTGCGCATATATTATGAACTTGAGCAAACACATAAGATTTAAATTAAGTATGGGGGGTTCCTCGGTAGCGTATTTTTTTGGCCGCCCCTTGGTGAACGAACCTCTGGTCAGCATGCGACAGATCGCAGAGGGCGCTGCTCCCGAAAGAGCTGCGTTGGGAAAGCTGGATGGTGCTCTAGCATGGCTGCCGGCCGCCAGGCGGATCGAAAGATCACGTGGCCCGGGGAGGAGGACGAGGAGGAGGAGGAGGAGGAGGAGGAGGAGGAGGAGCGAGCACAAGAGGCGGGCAATGGAAAAAGACCCAGGCGATGTGTGGGCCCCCCAGCGGTCCAAGCGACCAGCGTAATGCAAAAGCCGCACACACACAACCAGCGGGCACGAGCCTACCACATTGTAGGTCAATGGGCCGTGCAGCTACGCAAATGATAAGAGTATGACTCCCACACCTATCGCACCAGGGGGAAAGCCAGCAGAGGAGGGGAGGGGAGGAGGAGGAAGCAGGAGAGGGGGAATGAACTCGGGCGCGCGCAAACCAACCTGTAGTCGGTACACGCACAGGGTCCCACACGAGCAACCTAGAAGGACAGGAAAAACGAAAGCAGCGATCAGTGAACAGTTGAGCTGTTGTGGCAGGGCGTGCGCCACGATGCCTGCCCGATCCCTGCCAAGCAGGGGCGGGGAGGACAGGGTGCGCGCGACCGTGGGCTGGACGGCCCCCCAAAACCGCAAGAAAAGAAGACGAGAGGAGGGAGGAACAGGGGGGAGGCGCAGAGCACCGGCCGCCCATGGCACTCCGAGTCAGGCCCCCCAAGCGTGCCTAGCGCCGATCAGGTGGAGTAGAAGACGCAGTCGAACTGGGAGTTGTGCTGGAGTCGGTGCTGATGCTGGAGTCGGTGCTGGTGCCGCACTTCCAATCTGCCGTATGATAACGGATAGGCCGGACCAACCAAAGCCGTCGTCGTCATGTGGGCACATCGCCGCACTCGAATCCAAAGTATTTGTAATCATTACTAGTACAAGGGGCTCTGCACTCCCGCATCCCATCTATCGTGGAATCTGTGTCACCGCATGGGCAATCCATCCTTGATCAACGCCCTTCGGTGAGCTGGTCGGTGAGGGAGCCTGCAAGCTGATCGGTGCGGCAGGCCACGATCTGGTCGGTGCGGGAGTCGGCGAAATGGTCGGCGAGGGAGTCGGCGAACTGGTCAGCGAGGGCGTCGGTGCGGGAGTCGGGCTGGGAGTCGGTGGTCTAGTCAGCGCGGAAGTCGGTGAGCTGGTCGGTGCGGGAGTCGGTGACCTGGTCCGCGCGGGAGTCGGTGAGCTGGTCGATGCGGGGGTCGGCGAGCTGGCCTGCCTGGGAGTCGGTGAGCTGATAGATGAGGGAGCTGGCAAGCTGGTCGGTGCGGCATGACGGGATCTGGGTAGTGTGGGCGTGCAGCCAGCGCCCATACGGCAACATTTTGTCTTGCTCGCCTCCTCCCTCTTCGTCGGTCCTCCTCGCTCTCGGTGCGGCCCGATACGTGATATGGGTGATTTCGTATCGTGATAAAGGTCCCACTTTGCGCTCCGTGAAGTCGGCGAACTGGTACGCGCGGGAGTCGGTGATCTGGTCAGTGCGGGAGCCGGTGGGCAGCTGGTCGCTGCGCCAGCCGGTGAGATGGACGGTGCGGGAGTCGGCGAGCTGGTCGGCGAGGGAGTCGGTGTGCTGGTCGGTGCGGGAGTCGGCAGGCTGCCTGGCGCGGGAGTCGCCAAGCTGGTCGGCACTGGAGCGGCTTGTAGCGTTTCTGCTGCGTGCGGCGCAGCTGGTCCGAGTCACGGTGGTCACGATGGCGCTGCTGTTGGCA